GAAAGAGGCAAGTTTTGTATATGGTGCAGGAAATCTATACCCGATAATCACGTGATCAAGAAAACATACCAACTTTAAAAAGCATCAACTTTTTATAAAGGCAATATTTTGAAAAACTAACCAGTAACCTTGTTCTTTGTAGTAAGCTCTACAAAGTTACTGGTCAGTTTTTTAAAATACTGCCTCTATAAAAAGTTGATGCTTTTTAAAGTTACTATGTTTTTACAAAATTGAAATACTTTGTTTATCACATGCGAAATATTTGATTGGTCAGTATTGATCATTTGAAGAAATAATTCGATTTACGGGAATAAGAAACAGTGGCCAATGAGAGCTTTAATGCAAAAATAGGAGCTTATAAGCGATGCAGTACATGCTCAAAAAACTATATTGCGAATAGTTTTGCAAAAATATAGCATTAAATTATCAACCTCTCTTATAAACTTTATTACAAATTCTACTGCTTTTTTCATCAGATTTTTAGCTTCTCAAACTTCAATTTTTTTTTTTAACATTAATTAAAATAGATTAGTTTGTTGAACTATTTACTTGTAATTAATTGCATACATATAAATTAATCCAGAATTAAATATTAGTTATATTGCAATATTAATTAAAGTAGCTTCGCTTTACATTGTTTTGTCATTACACAAAAAAATTGATGGACCCACAATTATTACTTTTGATCTAATTTTAAAATGAAAAATTGGTCTAAAAACGCAAATTTACTAGGGCAGCTAGTTAGTAAAAATTTTCAGCACAAAAATTTTAATAAAAGCACATATAAAACTACTTATTTCCACTCCATCATTCCAAGTTAGGTGTACATATTAATGTTAGCATAAACATTTAAATTAATGTCAAGGTAGTCAAGGTTGGCTGTGATCACCTGTCAATAATTTAGTGCAATAACTATTTAATTAATATCAATAAGATAAATGTAAAATAGATCAAAAATTTTTCAGGCCTGGTAAACCTTATCTTGTTTGAAGATTGATTTCACGTTTTTTTGCTTGATGATACTTAATGCTGTGTTTGCATGTTTTTAAAGTAAAAAATTGTAAATCTGATAATATATGAATGAGAGCTGCACAGAGAAGACCTATAAGTAAAAATTAATATTATTACTATACCAGCTGATGAATTGTTATATAATAGTACTCATTAGAAACGCGTATACAAATAAGTAGAACACTTATTGGTGATTTCAATACATACTATCATATAACAATTCTTTGGCCAGCATAGTGATAACGTTAATTTACATCAGGTTTTACCTGTGAAGCACTCATATAGTTTTCTTTTAGTAGTACTCATATATAGAAGCTATTCATCTAAGATATAAAAGATAAATTAATCAAATTGCTTAATAATAAATCTCAGAATGGATTATACATATCTTTTTTAATGCCTATACACAAATCATGTTATGTTCTGCCAAAACATTATTTCTATAAATAGTATAAATTTGTTTAGTTTGTTGATTTGTTAGTTTTACATTAATTCGCGATGCCTTATATCTCAAAAAGACAACAACAAATAAACAATTTACCTAGAAAAAGAGGTCGCTTTGCAGCTCAAGAGGAGGAAACACATGAAATAACTGATATGCAAGACGAATTCACATTAAGAACTTGTAAGGAAGATGAAATCATAAATGAACAAATTAAAAAAGTATATACTAAAAATTCGAGAACTACTCTTTGGAGACAAAATAAAAAGAAAAGAGAGGAAGAAAACACAAGGGAAAATTGAACTGCTAATATATCTTTTAATAATAAAACACCAAATAATATATTACTCAATACTAAAGCATTGAGTAATACACCACTCAACAATAAGGCTTTGGTACCAAGTAATATATTAATCGATGCTGAAGCTTCAGCGTCAAGTAATATATTACTTGATGCTGAAGCTTCAATATCAAGTAATATATTACATGATGCTGAAACTTCAAAATCAAATAACATATCAATATTACAACCATCAACAATCTTACAAAACTCTCCATCACCCATTGACACTATGACAATCCTACGTATGCGTTTAGAAAAAGTTAATCAGCAGTGCTTAATAAAAAAATTATCAAAATTATCAAAAAATAATATGCCTATGTACAATTACCTGCACCTACTAAGTGTAAGCCAATATATACAGTTATTATTAGAAGGGCGAGGTAAAATGAATGCCAGTTTTTTTGTTGCAAGAACAGTGTAGAATAAGAGTGACTATACAGCAAGGTGTATTTGAAAATGGGGATATAGTTATATAGAATCAGGTGAACTTTTTTCTTACTATCAAGGAAAACATAAAAAGTCATAGGTTTGCTTGAAAATGAAGTTTTCTTAAATGGATATCGGGAATAGTTACAGCAGCAATTGCCAGAGTTCCACTCTCCTAGGGCTCTAAAGATGCATATTGAAGAAGTGAAATTACCAAAAATAGAAAATGCCAAAAATACCATCTCAGAAAAAATGTGTCAAATATATATGTATGCTTTGGGGTACAAGTATGATGAGAGAAAAAAAGGTGTGTATTATAATGGGCATGAGTGGCCCAATGTAGTGATATATAGAAAAGGATGGTTAGAAAGAATATTTAGGTACAAGATGTATATGAAAGACTTTGTTGGTGATATGCTAGAGATAGTAATAGAGCCCGAACTCGAATCTGATAAAAGAGAACTGGTACAAGTGACACATAATGAATGTCACTTTTATGCAAATGATGGACAGCTTAAAATTTGGACCAGAAAAGATGAGGATGTTTTATATCCAAACACATGGGATGTTCTATAATGGTTTTGGCTTTTATGTATCAATATTATGGATTACTACACCTATCTGAAAAGCAATTCCAGGCGAATCTACATGTTAAACACAAAGAAGCTTATGTTCTTCACTCTGTACAAGCAAATAGATATTGGAAGGCAGGGCACATGTTAAAACAGGTTTTTTAGTTTTCAATTTTTATTAAAAAAAAAAAAAAATTTGTTGCTATATATAAGTTGACCAAACACAACAAATAAGATAATATTTTCAGTTTTTATAATATATAATGATTAATATCATTATCCTTTCCAAAGTTTTATATATAAATGATTGAAATTTAAAAAGGTAAAGATATTTTAAAATTTTGAATTTTGAAATTTTAAGTTTAATTTTATAATAGCTTCTAACAACAACACTCTTAACACTCCTATTAATGACACTTCTACTACTTCTACCAACAATACTCATCCCAACAACACTTCTACTAACAATCTTTTTTCTAACAAATCTCCTATTTACAATTCTTCTTCTAACAATCTTTCTTCTAACAACACTCCTACTATCACTCTCAACAATACTTCTAATATATATATCAATACTGCTAACAATACTTCTAATAACAATGATCCTCACAATAACACTTTTTACATCACTTCATATAATAATATTCTTCCTTATTACAATTTTTATAACACATCTTATAATACATTATACATCCTTTATACCAACCCACCTTATAATAATATACTTTCAAACTACAACTTATCTTCATATTTAGCTATTTGTATTGACCAAAATCAATATTAATTAAATACTCTTTATTATTAATTATCAAATAATAAATATAATGATAATGATCCTGAAAAGCCAAAATATTTAAATAAAACTTTGTACAATTATATTTGAAAATAAGGATTACTTTTTTGCAAAATTAGTTTTTATA